AAGGGATGTCCCTGGGATATCCTTGGGACGTCCTAGGGATATCCCTTCTTTGTACTCGGTACATCCCAGGGACGTACCAGGAGGGACATCCCTTGGATGTCCTTTTTGTCTGAAAGCGGATGTCCCTGGGACGTCCCTAGTATGTACTTTGTCCCAGAAAAGATATCCCTGGGATGTCCTTATTCGAAATTAGGGACGTCCCTGGGAAGTCCCTAGGATGTACTCGTGTTGTTAGGGGATGCTACCGCGCCTCTGGAAACAATGGAATTGATACTTTCGGTGTGAATTATGATTAACTGGAAACTCAATTACCATAAATTGCGTTGTCCCAGGAATTCAGAAATGGCGGTCCAAACGTCAGCACCAACCAGGGCTAGTGATTCACACGAGACCAACGAGACGAGACTTTCATAAAGTCTCGTCTCGTCTCGCCGATGAAATACGAAGTCTTGTCTCGAGTCTCGTCTCGCAGCCCCGAGTCTCGTCTTGTCTCGCGTCTCGTACGAGAGTCTCGCAAAAGTATCGCAATTTCGTCATGCATAATCTTGTTCCATTCTAGTACGGGATATTCACATTTGCCTACTTTCTATGTATAATGTAGAAGTAGAAAGAGAAAATTACAACAAAAATAATATTGTTTATGGGAAAGTAAGTATCGAATAGGTACATACTTACATCATACATCTAAACAAGAAAAAAAACATAGCATTATATATTCGAAAGTTATAAAAATGAAATAAAAAGTAACACGTACATTCTAAACAAATAAACAAAACAAATCTTCAAACCAACATCATTTCACTTATTCGAGAAATAGGTTTCTAAGAAAATAGTTATTTGATTTACTAGGCAGAAAAGTAGTCAATCTACATTATTTACAATATTTACCTGCGAGACTCTCGCACGAGACACGAGAAGTCTTGCACGAGACTCGAGACGAGACCAATGAAAGTCTCGTCTCGCCTTGTCTGAGTCTCGTCTCGAGTCTTGTCTCGAAAACGAGACGAGACCATGCGAGACTCTCGAAAACGAGACTCTCGCGGACATCACTAACCAGGGCCGAGGATAATTGAATGATTGAAATGACGTGTCAATGCACCTAATAATTGAACAGGGTAGTCCAAGGTTGGTAGAATTGATGATTATTTCTGAAGGAATAGCCACGATGATGAGAATACGCGGCTAGTGGAAGTGGATATTCGTGACGTAATCACATCTATTACTCCATGTCGGGTTCATAGAAATGTATATGCATTATTTCAGATCACAACAGGATAGGTGAACCTACTTGGCGACAGTTGGAGAATATACAGGGTGTATCTAGATAACAACGGAAAGATTCAAGTGGAAATTCCTTGGGATATTTCAGGAAGTAAAGTTCATCTGAACATGTTTCCTAAATTGCTTCATTTTCGAGATACGGGTATCAAAATTTCTATGAAAAATTGTTTTTTTGTTCATTACTCAATCGTCTCTTCATCAATTTCAATGAATCGTTGTGGTTTTGTTAATAGTAATATAGAGCTTTTTCTGATGCAATTATATTCGAAATAATATTTCCAGTGGCGTCACAGTGGGTGAATTTATCGATATTTATGATGAATGTCCTTGTACACAACCAGTTCTTCTAAGTTTCATATTTTTATTAGATGGAACTATTGAAATAATAACTTGTTTGTCGTTTCGTGTCTATAGCTTAGTTTCTGAGGGAACAATAAAAATTCGATTTGACTTCAAATTTAATGTACTTAGATGTTTTCAAGACTCCCTTTCAGATTACTCAATAACCTCAATTACAATCATTCCGAAATTTTGGAGCTTTCTCAGTCTCCAATCATACTGAATTTTGGTACCATGAAAGCTTATACAGGAGGGTTGGAAATAAAAAACAATGGATACTTTCAACTTCAACATCTCAAAAACGGAATCACAAAGAATCACCCCTTGAATTCATTCGGCGTTATTTAGATACACCCTGTAGATTATTATGATGTTCTCCGAACATCATAGGGATCCCCTTTTTCACGCTCCTAGCAATAAAAAAATATAAATAGATACAAATCACCACTTCCCCTCACGGTCTTTTCTGTTCGAACCAACATCAAGGTAGTTCAGATTTTCGTTCATATAATTTGAGAGGTGATAGGTACTCACAATATGAAAGGATTTCTGAAGAGGTAATTACCCTCTTTAGGAATAAAAGCAGCACGCCACTGGATATTTTCGACGAAATCAAAATCCTATACAAGAGAGCATTCGGGTGAAATTTCGATACACAAACCATTTTCGATTAATTTGATGCTTTATTCTCTTGTGCATAATATGCATAATAAAGGATTAACCGCCCATCAAAGGATTCAAAGATACGTTTTAATTATATTTGATAAAAAATTAACAATAAACTTGATGAAACTACTTCACTGCTATTTCTCAGTTAATTTTGTATCGAATTTGTATATTAACAAAACATACTCTTGGATCCCTCTGGAGACTGGTATACCTAACCTCTTAATATGCACAGAAGCTTAACTTCAAGAGAACTTCATCCCATTGAATAAAAAGTGTTTCTCTAGCCTCGATTGAAAAACTGATATAGACACAAGTTTGAAGTATCACTCAGAAATATATGCATGTAGAAATCAAACTTGGAGTGTGATTCTCACATAACTTGTTTCCTCATATGTGTGTTTTCACATATCGAAGTATGTGCAAATGTGATGATCAAATTTTTTTTATGCAAAAGTACATGTCCTAACTTTGGTTATATGAAGCCAGCGTTCTAGGTTATGTAACCTACTAATGTTTACTCCTTTTCGAGGCAAAAAGTGTGTTTTTACTACCGAAGCAGTTCTCGTCATTTCATGAATCACAAGTCAATGAGAACATAGCCTTCCCGCTAATATAATCAACCCAAATTCACTGCACTGACACGAGATTCGCAGGAATAGCACTCGAATCTAGTATGTATTTATCAATAACGACATATACTGTCATGGTCGTGGCTACTGAATTTCAATTTGAATTTAAAAAAAAAGTGCTTTCATAGTGCTCTCATCTTCCAGATTTTAACCAGCTAGAAATACACTGTTCCAATGATGTTGTCATTCTAAATTCCAAAGAATTTGTCAAATACCTAGGAGTCTATATATATCGATAGGCACCTGAGGTGGGATGTTCATATAAAGAAAACTGTAAACACTCTGAGAAGTATAATTCATAAATTCCTATTCTTCAAAAATATATTGAATACCCATCAAATGAAGATTCTTTATTATGCACTTATTGAATCAAGATTATCATATGGAATATTGGGTTGGGGAGGTGTAGCGAGCAGTTACTTGCATTTTCTAGATGTCACTCAAAAAAATTTCTTGAAGATATGCTTCAATAAATGTCGAACCTATCCATCAAACTTGCTGTTTTCCGAAAATAGGATTCTTGATCTAAGGCAAATATACTTTCTACGTGTAGCAATTGATCAAATCAAAAGCAACCGCCGTCTAAGGCAAATCGATCATTGTTATGATACGAGAGCAAAGAAAGATATATGATGCGCACTGAGTATTCAAACAAAACGATTGGCCAAAGAAGCTATACCTATTTGAGCATAAGAATATTCAACAGCCTTCCTAAAAAAATTGAAGAAGCAACTTCTACAGTTGCATTCAAGAATCACACGAAAAAATATCTCCACGAAACAAAAAGAATTGATATTCATAATCTCATTGATCCTAATAATATATTGTTTCTTTTAGTTATTTATTATAATACCGTAGGAAGTTTTACAGTGTCTATAGCATGTAATTTTTCCAATACAATAATTTTGTCATAGAGTTAGTATTAGGTTAAGGTTAATTCTTTTATCATATGTATATGTTGATTTCATTAATTCAAAATTCAAGAATAGTATTTATGCACTCCAAAGAAAGATGTATAAGATGTGTCATGTATTAACATTGCATCCACGCGCTGGCATAGCCTTAGTGGAACATTTGTTTATTCATATTTATATTTTATAAATTTTTGGTGGAAGTAGTAATCTAGATACATTCAATTTCTGTCGATTTCTCTTGAACTTCCAGTGTAAAATATTACCTATTGGCGAATAAACATTATTACTATTAATATTATTATCATTATATTGCAAGAGGTGGAAAAAAATCAATATATACCTTGCTAGTAAAGAATATTAGTACCACGAGACCTCCATTGGTTCCTGGGCAATACTGATATTCTTCACTAGCTTGGTGTATAAATAACTATTCCAAGTGTATATTCGACTATTGAATATGTTATTCATTCTCAGAACTTTGATGAGAAATGGCGGAATTAAAGCTTATACCGTGTTACGGTAAATAGTGGCCACGTTTATACGTGTCTTGGTAAGTTAATGACTATATTTTGACTAAATACTCTTGGTCAGTCTAGTATGATCTGCATACTTGATGAAGTTACCAGCTTCGTTTGGTACCGAAATTTGTTGCGTACAAGACTAAAATTATATTATGACCAAGACGGTGAACAGTTTGGTCTAGTTTTGTATAGCCTTGACTTGACTAGAGTGCAAGTGGCAATTATTTCATGAAGTCTCATCTCAGGTTTCATTCTTAACTTACAAATTCCAGGAAAGTTCCACAACCTAACCTCATAAAAATGAACAAATCAAATCAAAGTTGGCAATGTTAGTCAACTAAAGATACATGGTATAAACATGCGTCACCTAAAGCATTTGGTCTGCATTTTGTTATATCACCTTGGTGAGCATACCAACTATCCAAACAGGGCCTACTCTATCTCACCCAAACGGTATAAGACTTGGCCAGTGTTTCTCTCCCGCACATGGAATGCATCAGAATATGCATCAGCTTTCCATACCAGACAAGAACATATTTTCTATCAATCCAAACACATTTCACTTAGAGCAAAAATACTTCACCTGTGGTGCTTTTCCACTTATTTTTCAATTGTAACTAAACTATGATCACATCGCCTATACTAACCTTTATTCCATAATTGGATTCTTCATAGATGATAGAGATATAGCTCCATCCCATCAATCTGACGATATCGACCATGGCTTTCACTTGATAGTGATCTGAGGGTATCGTCCTGGAGAAGTATTCGAATCTCTGTTTGTTACTGAGTTCTGGACTTGTTGAAAAAAATGACACCTGGAACAAAATACTACGTGGAATAGCCAGAATAAGTTATACTTCAGACATCTTCTTGATAAAAGAAGCTATATCACATCGAAAGCGTTCAATATACTCTGGCAGTAGATTTCATGACAGAATATGAGGAAACAGAATTCGAAAGATTCCAAGGGAAGTGGCTACAATTTAGAAACTACAGTAACTCAAACAGGCTTTCCTGAATATTCTTTCCTATACCATAATTTCCTGGACGATTTGAGGAGGAATAATTGAATGATGGAATTCTCATTGTCTGTCTCACTTTCTATTGTGAATTCATAAATGTATAAGAAATTTTAATTTTTAATTCAGGATCGGCAGTACCACCACAGAAATTGAAGATGGTTAATGACCTTGTTTGACTTCGATGAAATGTTTGGCAGTTCCAGACCTAAACTGGAATCGATTTAAACATGAATCGATCTGATATATTTCAGCAATTATTTGTTTTATATCAATCAACTTATTCAGATTACCAATAGAATCATCTTGAGAATAGCTGATTCCAAATTGAAAATAGAAGAAGTCAGTTTTTCTGAGAAACAAAAATCCCACAAACAAAACGACTCCTTTTTCCATTTCAACAAAAACTCCCGGCACTATATGGAATCATGTTCGTCTGTGAAGAGCTGATCATGTTGATAGTTATTCTCACCTTTGGTGAGTATATCGTACGAATAATAGCTTAGGTGTAAAGGGAGTCTGTTTAAAATGAGATACAATGTATAATCAGTAGTAATACTATGAAATATGTTGCCTAATTATGTGAGGAAGCTACTATAAATAGGTTTTTATCATTCATTAGAATATCGAATTATGACTAAGCTGGTTTAAATTACATCTCCCTGTATATTTCAAAGTTCATCGGAATCGAGAGCCGAACCGAAATAATGGTAAACAACCCTCTTGTAACGAGTAGGTATAAAGCACGGGTTTCTATAGACTTCAGTTTACCATCATAACCCCAAATGAATTTGAATGGATTTACTTTTGATATGTTGCGACCAGAAGATTTGAGTAAATTTTGTCATATGAGTAAAAGAAGTATAAGGACATGGAATCGATAGATTCTGATATAGTTGTTAGTTTTTATACCATGCCTTTTTTCCGACAACTCGATATCATTTTTGGATTGTAAAACGGACAAGGCTTGCTCGCTCCATCTGAACGAGGTCCAAATAGTTGTCTTCGTTCAAACACATACTGTGAAGGGTCTGAGATGGGTTCATTGATTTTTGACCATGCAAATGCAACCATAATATACTACGTATATTTTCTAGGAAGAATAACTTGTCAAGCAACACTTGCTTGTTTCTAACCATATGTTGAATGTTATTTATGGTATTCTTATTCTGAGGCGAGTTGATAGATTTCCAAATACCACCCAAACGATAGAACATCACATGATTGGCCAGATATAATTTGACGCTGAGTTTTCGCTTCCCTCATGTCACGTGATACAATAGCTATACAAGAGTTAATGTTTGTCACAATTTTGTGGAAGTTCGTTTTTGAATTGTGTCCTGTTCAGTTGTGTCACGTGATATGCGGAACGCTGGTAAAGTTATCTGTTATTTGAAATCTTCACATTCATTATGAGTTGAAGGCTCTTTACGATTGATATTCAACTATCACTATTTCTCAACTGGTCTTCGGATGCAGTAAATACCAAGTCAGTTGTATGTCATTCAGTTAGGTCCAGATCCTATTTTCATTCACTTTTATTCATTTATTATCCATCTGATAATAAACATAGTTAATTCAGTTAGGAACCAAATAGTTTGATTTATGGATCTCTTCCTATCCCTTCAACAGGTTTATTGTTGATTGAGAGTAAAGTTAACGTAATTAATTCATTGTTTAAAATAATAACTATAGAGTGTCTAGTAGAGAAATAGACTTTGATTAAAGAGTATGCAAGCTCAGATATCTTACTATAGTACGATGCATATACACATGGACGTGTCACAAGCTAGCTGGGACGTCAGATATAAAAGGTAATGGGTAAGTTGATCATGATATATTGTAAATGATTATATGGCATTTCAATACGACTTATTCAAGAACCTACTGGCCGACTTGCCGAATACTTTTTGTTAGAAATTAGAATTATATTAAATGAGGTGGTTTCAAGACAGGATTATTGAAATATATGCTCATTATCAGCTCAGAAGTGGTTATTTCCAATTGGCACATATTCACCAATTTTACTGTGTTGATTACTAATTCGAAAAAAAATTATGTCTCTTTGGAGTTCAATAAACATTCACACTCATCAATCAATCAACATTCACTCTCATCAAGTTCACCTTCACTGTCACTATTACACGATAATAATCTCTGCACGATAGAAGAAAAATAATATCATCATATTAAAAATGTACCCATTTCATAAGATATCAAAAACGTCACTTGGATGTCTTAGGGCGTATTTTGTTACAAATTGGATCGTTATAGGGATGAAGATAACAATGAAACTCCGACAACTAAACTTCCATAATATATTCATTCAGGTGGAAACTGAGTTATCCGAGTAAACTGAGTGGCGGTGAATTACTTTCTTAGAACTTGGACAGTTCTCCTGGTTTTTGAATATGATGTTATTCATCCAACACCGTTACTGTAGAGTGAGTAAATCAATATACGCAATGTAATTTTGAACATCTTCAACGCACCGAAGGAGGTGATTCTTTGTTGATTTTTCTTCAATTGGGTACTTCACAACTTCATGTATGATCATCTATTTGGATACATGAAACTGAAATTGTTGTAATAATTGATGTATCGTCCTATTATCGTGAGTTATTTTCTGATGATTTTTTTAAACTCAATGAAATTATTGGCAATCTTCTGGGACCGATTAGGGTATGGAAAATGTTCTGATAATATTGTCTAAGTAATGATCTTTGGGTTTCTAAGCCTATCAAGCATCGAAATGTTATTGCATAGTTGAATAGAGAATTTTAATGCAAGTAAGTTAGTCTACTGAAATATACAGGGTGACATTTGAAAAAAAAAATTTGGGTCTACTTCAGATCAAACAGGTGGTTGAAGAAAAGTGGCATTGAGTTCAAGGGAAGCGCCATCATCGATAATATAACTCTTGTGGATTTCAAATTTGTATCTCTTCAATTAAAAAAAAGACTGTTACATGTCTCCTGTATCACCCGGTATATTTGAAGAAATACAATGACAATTCGCATTCTCTATGTGATGGAAATATCAATAATTCGACGTAGAAAATAGCCAGGAAAGTATAGTTGTTCTCTGTTGAATATTCAGAATGATATCATGTGCATATCTTCATATGAGGGAGAATGCAAATTCTCTACTTCAGAAGATTTTGTTTTCAAATTCTTATTGTGTATGCCCAATTCAATTCAATGTTCGTCGTGGCATATAGCCAGGAAAGTAGTTGTTTTGTGTTGAATAAACCGAGAGAGAAATTGATATTTTCATCACATATAGAGAATGCGAATTCTCAATGTATTCCTTTATATATACAGGGTGTTTGAAAAAAACCAACCTCCTTGCTGGGGTAGGTGGAACATTGCAGAATAAGTTGAGTTTGCTCAGTGAAAAAATGTCGTAACGCCATCCGTTTTCAAGATACAAGGTGTTGAAAACATATTTTCTTACACATTTTTCACGATTATATTGAAACTACTGGCTAAATTGTGATGAAATTTCGTATGGATGTGTTTTGAAAGCTGACACATCGCATGAATACGTTTTTATATCTGACACTCATAGAGGGCGCTAGTTACACGGCTCTTGATACTGTGTACCGTTTTCGGGATATTTCGATTTGAATGAAATGCTGAAGTATAACACTGATGCTAGTTGAGAGTAAGTATTATAAAAGACTGTTACCTATATTTATTGATAACAAGTCAAGAGCTGCAAGAAAGAATTGAACATTACTTAGATGATCTCATAGCTGATCCTCAATAACCGTTGAGAACATTGATGCATTCTTTAGAAAAAAGGATCGAATTGTGTATTCGTGAAAATGGAGGACATTTTAGACACATATTTTCTGATGTGATCTTGTTCAATCGATAACTCCAGCAGTAAAATAATGTTAATGTTTTATGCCCTTAATAAATAGATTTTTTTTTTCATAATACTTATTTCAATACCAGAATCAGAGGTACTGCTTCAGCATTTTCGAATCGAAATATTTCGAAAACGGTAGACAGTATTGAGTTTTACCAAGAGCATCATTTTGATGTAAAATTGTATGGTGTTCAAGTTCATATTGAATATGGACTGAAAAATCTAACCTCAAAAAAGTTATGTTCAAAAGTACTCGGTACGAACCGTTTATGAGTGTCAGATATAAAAACAAATTCATGCGGTGTGTCTGCTTTCAGAACACATCCATACAAAATTGCATCACAATATTGCAAGTAGTTTCGACATAATCGTGAAAAATGTGTAAAAAAAAACATTTTTTCAACCCCTTGTATCTTGAAAACGAATGCCGTTACGATATTTTTCCACTCAGCAAACCCAACTTACTTTGGAATGTTCTACCTATACCCTAGCAAGGGGGTTAGGTTTTCCTGAAACATCCTGTATAATAATTTTTTTATATTCATAGTAATATCTGAGAATATTCCTTTTCAATAAGTCTGAAACTCTCATCCAGCGATTTTCAATGACATAAATTATGCAATTCTCAAGTATAGCGACGAGAGAGTATTCGAATTTCTAGATGATGACTTCGATATCGGGAACATCCATAAATATTTGAACGAATTACCTGTGGAATTTTGAAGAGTCGTAGAAGATTAGCGACTTGGATGGAAGTAACGCTGGAGGCGGCACCCACGACTCCAGATATTACTTTTCTCACTTGCGTTTTGTTACAGTGATACTCCGCATCGTCGATATTGCTGATGGAACCTGAAAAGGAATAGAAAATATTTATGAAAGAGCTTGCCTCATTCCTGAATGCAAATATTACGTCGTCTGGCTGTTTTACATAGCGGAACGAGCTTTCGTATTTCTTGATGGAGTCAGGTATTCATGAAAGTGCAGTATTGGATTTGATAAGATGAGATTCTACATATTTCAGTGCACCAGTGTTTTTTCGACCCACATATTGAAGAATTGAACTGGTGAATTATTCAGTGCGTTCATGAAGTGTCATTATATGCTGAATGATCAATATGCTCATTTTGCTTGATTATTTGGGAATTTTGGTATTATTTCCCCTCGTTCCAACAAAATAAGAATATGACTATTACTTCACTATACGTGTGGTAAAAAGAAACATATGATTTTCCTCAAAATGTCACTGCGTTTGAGGATTTTTTTATGAGAGAGCCTAAAAGGTAAATGCCAGCAAACATTATTACATGGGCCATCAATTGTAAACCACGAAAGTTGTCCACTGGCATTTATTGCTTGTCCATTGTTATTGGCCCAGTGATGACTGACTTTTTTTATGTTCTGGTTCCCACGCAATGGGATATCCCGTAATGTTCAGAGAACATCGTGAGAACCAAGGAAAATGAGGTAGGAATTGGTGTTCTTCTTAAATTTTCGAGAGTAATATGCCTCGGAGAACACCTCTCTTCGCAATTTGTTCCAGAGTATCGCTGTTCGTTGGATGAATGAGTCTTTGGAAAGAGATGTTCTGCAATTCTCCAAAGTGACCACGAAGGGTGCGAAGCCTCGACTCGAAGGGTTAATCTCGAAGGGACTGCCAAGGGAGGAACAATTGTTATTGATATTTCGTCCATGAAAATATTTATAAAATAGAGCCAGATCGCCAACTTTTCTACGGTGTTCCAGAGAAGTGAGTGAGTTTGTGAGTGAGGCATCACCCATGGGAGGAATTGCCCTTTTTTGGACAGAATCCAACAGTTTCAGGGTATGTTTGGGTGCTGCACTCCAAATATGGAGACAGTATTCCAGGACAGGTCGGATCTGTGCTTTATTGATCATAAGCAGCTGACTGGAAGTAAAATAGCTCCTGACCCGAAACAGGCAACCAAGTTTTTGGAATGCACTTTTAGCAATTGATCTCACGTGATTTTCCCAAGAAAGTTTATTGCTGATAGTAATACCAAACATCGAAATGGATGACTTCAAAGGTATGGTTACTCCTCAGAAGCTTATGTTGGACACAGTAAGATCGGTTTTCTAGAGAAAAGGCATGCTTGTGTTTTGTTTGCATTGAAATATATCAAGTTATTGCATCCTCATTCGAGAATTGTTGCTAAGTCCGTATTTATGTCGTCAACATTTCTCCCTCGTTCATTTTTGATTTGCCTTGCTGGTATTGGAGCCCTGGAAGAGAAGGCAGTATGGAGGGTACCATCATCTGCGAAGCTGTGTACTGGACATGAAGTTGCTTCCAACAAATCGTTGATATGGAGTAGAAATAGTGTTGGTGCTAGAATTGATCCTTGCGCCAGCATTTATGATGAGAGAGTTAGATGAAACTCCGTCGACCACTACATGGAGAGACCTGTTTGAGAAAAAACTAGCTAGCAGAGAATATAGCTGGGGAGGCAAGCCATAAGATGGAAGCTTGGCGAGGAGTCCTGACGTATTTTGAGTGCATTCTCAATGAAAATTTAATGTTTCCATTCTCACATAGAGAATATTGAGGTTACGTATAGAAAATATCATTTTACTGATGGAAATGGTAATAATAATGATCAATACAATTAAAGGTCTCGTGATCAGTTATATAACCATATATTATCTGTTCAAACATCCGATGATACATGGATTCTCCTTCTATTGATTGATATTGTAATTTCTGGAATACCTGGAATATGGCCAAAACTTGAAAACTTCTCTTCTTTGGTATCTGGAATAAACTATTTGTGAATTCTAAGTCAGCTATAAATCGTAACTGCATATTACATAGCCTGCTGCAACGATAATCAGGTGCAAACAAAGACTCAAGTCTGAGGTAGAAGTAGATTGCTTTTAGTACTGAAACTTCATGGTGAATAAGATACTATAACAAATCACGAAGAATATCAGTTTGTATACAACTAAATTCGTTATTTAGATCTGAGGAGATTGATCAATAATGCAATCATACAACTCTCCATTCCTTCCCTATTTCACTTCACATCTCACAATCACAAATGACGGCTTATGCGCAAGATGATAAAAAAAATGAATTTGAAGACCCAGTGAAAACAGGGTTGGGCAAATCTTGATTTAAAAAAAAAAAATCAAAAATCATTGATTTAAATAAAAAAATCATTATTTTTTGGATTTTCTTGATTTTTTTTATTTTTTTTTTATTTTGGTCTTAATGCGCGATAAATATAGGTACCTGTCAACATTCATGTCAACATACTCTTTCAAATGTCGTGGAACAATGGAAAAATATATCTTTGAAGAAGATCAAAATCTATCAATTCAACAGCTTCAAAAATTTCAGCGCCGATATGAACAAGCACTGACCCCTTACCACTTGATAGCTTATATGGCTTTGAAAACTATAAAAGAAATGTATGGTAATAGTGGATTATTACCATTACTAATAAAATTTAATGCTCGTTCTTTGCCCTTCAAAAACATCATGTTTTCTGAAGAAATTACGAAAAACGTCAGTGGAATTCAGTGGTGGCTATCACAAGCTGACAATGAATCAGAAATCAAGAAACAGATACCTGTGTTAAAACAATTTCTTTGTGCTATTGCTTCTTCAGCCTCAGTGGAACGAGTGTTCAGTACCTTTGGGCTGGTACATTCAGATTTGAGAAATAGACTGGGGGTTGAAAAGGCAAGAAAATTAGTATTTTTGTTTAAATATTATAATGAAAATTAAAATGTTCTATGTTAGTTTCAATGTCAGAAAACTCATGATTATAAAATAATGTAGAGTATGATTAAAATATACATATGTATATGTTTCAATAACCCCTTTTTTTAGGGGTTTCACTATTTTATTCCAGTTTCATATTTTTTATCATTCAAATAAATAATAAATGTTCTCGAAATTATTATTTTGATTTAAATTGTGATTTAAAAAAAAATCACTTGATTTAAATCATGATTTTTATCTTGAGTTAAATCAATTGATTTAAATCAGCCCTGAGTGAAAACACATCAATCGTCGATTGTCGAAAAAATGCTTTGATTGGCTGATGCTCCATTGTCATTTCATTGATGTCCTAATGACATTGAGGAACCTATATCCTCCATTCATCGTTCAACCAGTACTTATACCAGTGATCTTTCTAAAATGGATTATACCCATTGATTCCCCAATGCCGTAAAAACCTAGTGTTATCCTGATCCATAGGAAATGAACTCTTGTATATAATGCAAGTGCATCATACGTGTTATATGATTGAAATAGCAATGAACATGTGCATTTATATCAGAAATAGAAAAATAGAATAGAAATAGTGACAGCAGTTTGCCATCGATCAAATCAATAGGACTTGGGCGGTGAAGTACTAACTGGAGATAGAAAAAGTAGCTGGAGTTCGAAAGATTCTGTCGCATCGGGATGAAACAGAAGTTTCATCCTATCTCTATGTCTCTGGAAATAAATGAGTTGCAGAGGCGAATGACCCCCTTGAGACATTTTATGGTGGTTGCGACGAATAAATCTGAACTATGGAAATATCATTCAGGCATGTTTGAATTATATGATCCCTTTTCTGTAGATACTAATTTTGGGGTTGAGGAGCATTCAGTTCTCTAGATATTTTGACAGTTTTTTTCCTTCTCGTCCCGATGAATGAAAAAATAAGTATTAGTTCAATGCACCTGTATACTAAAGACACATCGGATTTTTCACCTAACATGTCAATACACTCGAAATTTTACGATAGCAACACATTGTCTGGAAAATATTAGAAGAAGAAGAATGTGGGTGTAAGGAAGAAATATAAGATGTCACTCATCTTTGGACTTGTCTGTCTCACTGTCTCAGTACTGTGGAGTCATATGAATATCAGATATGGAAATGGAATTGATAACAAACAAAGTACCTCATTGATGTATCGAACACAGTAAAACAAGAGCAATTTTGTGTTATAGTCGTAGAAAAGTGACTATTCTTTTACTAGGCTGAAAAGCACAAGATTCCATGACGCGGCTGGTGTTTCATAGCCAAGGCTAGGAAATCATCAAATCTGCTTTTCTGCCATGTGGAACATACAATTCAATTATTACTTGGAACGTTGCATAGCAGCAAACTTCTTCTGCCTAGGCAGAGTAAGTACACCGTCATTAAAAATCTACTTCTTTCTGCAACCGACACAAAAGTCGTCCATTTTGATACCAAAATTACCTCTTAAATTGACGTTCCTATTACTGACACAAAAATAGGTATGTTGCTAGGCAACATATTTAGTTCCTAGGAGCTGAAGTTGAATTTTAGTTCCTAGGAGCTGAAGTTGAACTTTAGCTCCTAGGAACTAAAAAGGATCTACTGGACGTCATCAAGAATAAACAACATTGTGACTGTTGGTTATTTGGGTTGAGACGCATACCTGATTTGTTTCTGATTTCAGCAGATTTGGCATTTCATACCCATGCTGGAGATATAAATACACCTTATTATAGTTTAGTATTGGAATTATAAACATCTCAGTTGAGTATTTTTGTTTTGTTCAGGGAAGCCTTTAAGATTTAAATACGTGCTTGATCTGTATTTCATTCGTTATTCTCGGGATAGATAACTTGTTTTTGAATGATCACGGCAAGCAATAGTTTTTTTTTGTCTCAAACAACGATATTGTTTAGCTTCATTTGATTATCAAGTCAAACACAGTGTAGCATGGAGAGGAATGAATAATCACTAATATCATTGTTGATATGCTCACTAACCTAACATTTTCCACGTCTTGTTCCTATAGCTGGCACTGGCGCGGTATTTGCCATTAGAGCACCTGGTACATACACAAATATATCAC